CCCCAAAACCCCAAAACCCCAAAACCCCAAAACCCCAAAACCCCTAAAAATAAAACTCTTATTGAAATATTTTATTTTAGGAGCAACTGTCCTAAATTGCCTGCGTCATTCTTCTTCAGTGTTGCACTTAAGCCATTATTTTGCTTATTCTTCTTCTTCTGAGGCTCGATGTACAGACCAGTGTAGGGATTGATCGTAGGCCATTCGAACTTCTCTTTGAAGCTATTATTCGTTCAATTGATATAAACTCTGGGTAAAATATTCTCGATTTTAATGTACAACGGCTGGGCTTCTCTTTCTTCTTTCGATAGCAGATTAGCTGCTTCTTCAAAATCCTCCTTCTCAGCCTCATCAGGGGCTTTCTTTAGGGAGGTTGATGAGAGTGAAGGGTCTTTGGTTCCCTTCCTCTTGAGCTCCTTTTTGACAGATTCCTCTTCGAAGACTTTCTTCATTCTTTCTTTCTCCGAGGGGTCGTAGCAGATAACCTCTGCTCATCTAGCAAAGGCTTCAAGAAATTCGATGAAGTTCATTCTGAGGTGCCTTTCTTTGTTGAGTTCATCAACCTGGGTCATCATAGATAGGTTGAAGTACACTGCAATGTCTCTTGAAACCAACTGGTCGTTGATGAGGTTAGATTCAGCAAATATGTTTTCTAGCTCGTCAGTGGTCATGAACCATTGATCTCCGGGCTTCATGTGGGTTCCTCCATAATTTTTGAATAAGTACTCGAATAGTTGGACATGGGATTTGAAGATGTTGTCTACTTCTTCACACCAGTACTTGTTATCTCTGAAATCTTGGGGGTCCTCTCTTTCGTAAGATGGATATAGGTTTTTCTCAAGCATCATTGTAACAGCTTCTCCTTTTGATTTGACAAGGCCGGTATCTTCGTACCTCTTGAGTGCAAGTCTGATTAAGATTTCTAGAAACTGGAACCTGACCAGGGCAACTCCAGGATTTAGATATGTAGCTTTAGCCCTTTTGTTCATAGTCAGGAATAGAGTATCATTTTCTGCAAGCCGGATGTCTTTCCCATTAACAAGATCTATCTGCTTGACATAATCTGTGTATCAATTGAGAGGGATGCAGAAAACACCTCCTGCGCCTTTTCCTACACCTGCAAGGTACTTGTATATGTTTTTAAACATTTTGTAGCCTTGCTTAAGAGCTTCTTTAATTTCTGTGAGCTCTTCATCTGACATTTTTGGAAGCTTGATACATTTCCAATCAAATTCAAATCATTTATTCAAAATTTCTTCATTATCCTTCTGATAATTCTTGAAAATAGATATTGGAAAAGACCAAGGAGTCCTTGGCCTCCGATTTCTCGGCTTGACATAGACCTTGTCAGGTGGTCTGGGTCTGCAAGTCTTACAAGTAGGCTCGTAGTCTTCATCAAGCACCTCCTTCGGCTTTCCTGATGTGTAATTCATTATCCCAATGGAGTAGTTACAGGGTGTATTGTCCTCCTCTTCTTCGTCAGAGTCAGGAGGGCGGCCATCGTCCTCCATGACTTCGATGAATTCGATATTTCTAATGAGCATTTTTCCCTTACATGTCATCCTTAGGTGGTCTTTAGCATGGAAATATTCGTGGTTTACAGTGAAGAAGTACATTGTTTTACCAGGAGGAACCATTCTTCTGATTTCATAAGTATCTGACGACTTCCAGTTTCCTACTTTCTTCGTCATCAAGTCAGGCTTGTACTCGTCAAAATCGAAGTGAATGTTGATAGGGTCGAATATTTTGTTGTGAGATTTTCCAAGAGTGAGGGTGAACTTCTGCTCCCTCCATCCTTCTCACACCCAACAGTGGGTGTGGGACTTTATTTTAGCTATTTTAGGCTTTTTATCTTTGATTAAGACAGATCTGCCATCGATGTTATGGTAGCCAATGAAGTTGTCTTTTCCATAATTCTTAACATCATATTTATTTATCAGTCCTGATAACGCCATAGGTGTCAACCATGCATGCATTGCCATGCATGTGGAGGCCGAAGAGAGTCTTGTTCTCTCTGATGAGTTCCCCAAAAATAGCTCATTCTTTAATTTTTAAGCTGTTGTAGGAAATGTCAAGGTGAGCCAAGACTCCTGAATTGACCATATTTCCCATTGCTATGATTACTTTTTCGTTCCTTTTGAAGTCCTTGGCACCAAGCATGTTCCAGCTAATATCCAGATTCTTAAGCGAAGTGTTAATCGAGATGCTATCGAAGAGGAATCAAGCCCCTTCAGAATGAATCTTGTTCCACTGCAGTCTAAGAATCTTGATGTGGCTGTTGACTTGAAGGAACTCTCCCAAAGACTTGCATCCTTGAGTCTCCATCTGGTTTTCAGAGAGGTCAAGATGGTTCAATGGTGGATTTGCAGTTATCAGACCCTCACACAGATCGAAGATGCATTTGTCAGAAAGTTTATTGGATGATAGATTCAAAATCTTCAAATTATGTGATAAAGAGTAAAATTGGTTCAGTTTCTCATTATCTTTAGGTGGAGTACTTTTCCTCTCTGAGCTCTTCAACCATAAGATCAGCTGAGGGATTGCATCATCTCCCATATTGTTCTTTGACAAGTTCAGCTCTGCAAGACTCTCAGGAAGATTAGAAAGGATGGCTACACTTCCTGTTTTACCTAGGTTGTTTCAACGTAAATTCAGTTTCTCGGTTTTTAAGTACTTCATAGAGTTGCTCAATGCAAGAGCGTATTTATTTCCCATGCTGAAATTAGCAAGGTTTATCTCCCTCTCTTTTCCCTGAAATTTGAGGATTCCCATAGGGGTAGGAGTCATCTGCATCTTCTCACAGCTTGTTAAGAAGGCAGTAGATGCAGAGTATCCATCCTTCGCGATTTCTTTCTCTTTTGAAATTCTCTTATATTTGCTGTAGAAGTTCAAATAAGCTTCTTCTCCGATGTAGCTAGGAGTATTGATCCTTTCACTAGCTTTAAGGTTGATTGCAGGCAGACTCGGGTTCGATAATTTTTTCTCCATTGATTCGACTACCACCTTAGCATTAGGAAGACTAGGCTGGCTTGAAGTATGGCTTGGCCTAAATTTACTCTCGTTAACATTTGCTGAATTCAAATAGAGATCCGTATCTGACTCACTAAGGATTTTTAATCCTGACCCTCGAGAATCAAGGTTTTGGATCCTCTTCTTTTCAGCTTTTCTTCTGTACTTGATGGTTGAATATTTTGGATCACCTCCAAACCCAATTTTGTTTCCGTACTTGTCTCGACTAATTGTTCCAGAGTAGGAGTCACCTTTTGGAATCCCAATAGGGCCGTATTGGGGGTAATTATCCTCTTTGAATTGCTTGCCTTGTTTGTTTCTCACACTTTGCAGGAAGCTCTTGATATTTTTAATTGAATGAATATCAACCATAGCCTTGGGCTTTGGACTAAGCGAGATGGGTTTAAATAGATTTGGTACGGTTACTACCTGGGGGTTCTTCCTACTACCAATAAGGCTGCCTCCAGCTAGTCTTTTACTTAAGCTTATTCCTGTTTATCTTCTTCTTTCTGGTTTGTGACTTATTGCCTTTCTTCTTGTGTTTGATTAAGAACTTGTCAGGCAGTCTGACTGATTTTGAAGGATCTATAATCACATCCTCTGTGGCTAGAGGAAGCTTTAATTTATCAGCTAACATGGAAATTATTATAATAAGTATATTTATCCCAATTTTTATCTATTATTAAGGGGTTTTGGGGTTTTGGGGTTTTGGGGTTTTGGGG